ATGCCCTGCCTGCAAATGTAGTAGACTCGCCAACTTTAAGGGCATTTAAATGGTCATTGGATAAACATATGGATGATAATGGAATAGTTTGGGTTAGATGGGCTTCAGATTGGTTTCACAGGTCGGCGCAACATCGAGTGCTGAAGGACCTGTACTGCGCTGTAATGTTCTATGTTCTATTATGGCTGACCTGAAAATCCTCAACACCATCTTTGTGCCTCGCCCCTATCACTCAATCTGGCCTACATGTGACTCCAGGCGCACTGAAATGTGGTTGATCTTCACTCTCTGCAGTGGCTGAGCAAGTCCTTGTGTTTGAATAAATTTAGTGATGGGCAACAAATGTTGACCTTGGCAGTGAGCAACCAAGGAATGAATATAAAACAAAGTGTTAAATCTTGCCCCCATCTTCCCTGTCGGATCTCGCAATCCCATGACACCTTTTAGAGATGATTTCCACTGGCATCCTGACCGTTGTTTATCCATCAGTCAATGTATTGGAACAGATTGTTCTCACTCCACCCATGATGATGTATTTTCTGCTCTCTTTCTTGATCATGTGTCTATTGAGCACAGGGTTGTCAAAGCAAGAAATGTTGTATGAGTTCATAAATATTAACTGCCATTTCTGCTGCTAACCACCCTGAGACTATAAACAAAAATAAAGCCCGCAGATGCTGGAAATCAAACAAAACCAGAAATCGTTGGGAAAACTCAACAGGTCTGGCAGCATCTGTGGGAAGAAAGCGGAGTTTAACTTTTTGGGTCCAATGACCCTTCAGAACCCTTATAACTGTTCTGAAGAAGGGTCACTGGACGTGAAACATTAAATCTGTCTACAGATGCTGCCAGATCTGCTGAGCTTTTCCAGCGATTTCTGTTTTTGATCCTGAGATCGTGACAGGAGCCCTTTTGTCACTTCTCTCTAACACTTAGCTGAAGCTAACTGATATTTTACTATCGTCGAAAGTGAGAAGCCCCTTTACGATACTTGCTTAAGGTGATTGGCAAGAGATGGCGATAATATTTTCAAGTAATTGGACACAGATGAATGTTGACCTGGCAGTTGGATAGCCATTGATCTTTACTGTAGTTACCATAGGGTCTTTTATATTGACCTGACAGGAAGGACACGGCCTCAGCTTAATGTTTCAGCCAAACAGCACTTGTGACTGTTCTGCACTTAGAGCTCTTCTTTTGGTGTATTGCATTGCTGGAAGCTAACACCTTTTCATGAGACCATGTCTCTGCTAAGGTGACCATCAAAGATCTCATTTTGGGAAGAGCAGCTATCTGGGTCAAAAAGTATTCATCCTTCAAAGCCACCAAAGAATAACCAATCAGAAACACAGTGTCATTGGTGGGAGCTTGCTGTGTACAAAATGGCTGCCACACTGTCAGGCCCAGGGCCCACCTCTGATGTCAATATTTGGATCCAGACCCCCGATGGAAAATCCTGAACTCGGTTTTGAAATGTGGGCCTATCCTGAGATAGAATAACAATCCCCTACGATAACTGTCAACATCATCCAACACACACACACACATAGTTGCCTTAAATAACCTTACATTTTCTGTTAGACACGGTCTGTGTTTTTTCTTCCAATGACATTGAACATTAAGGGAGTTGAAGCCATGCCTGTTAAGTTGCAAAGCAATTTAACAAATTCATGGTTTTCTTTTCTTTCAATATACAATGGGATTTTAAATTAATAAATTTTTAAAAAATCCTTGAAACATGTATTTCAAGCAAAAATGTAAGAGGTGCCTAGTATGTTTTTGTTCCTTTTTTTTTCAATTGTCCCCTTATGCCCTTTCTCTTTTTCACTTTTTTTGTTTCTCTTGCTCTCTGTGTTTCTGTCTGTGTGTGTCTCTCTCTGCAACGCCCCCACCTCTCCTCTATTATCCCCTTTTCTTCCTTAAATTTCTTTCCCCAATTTCTCTTTGACCATATCACTCTGTTCTCTTGCTGTTATCCTGTCTCCTCCATCTCCTCGCCCTGCTTCTCTCTCTGCCCTCCGCACAACCCCCTCCATTGCCTTCCTTGGCCACCCTCAACTCTACCACTGAGATGTCCTCCACCTTATTGCAAACTGGAGGAGTTCCAGCCTTCAGCCTCAGTCTGTCCAGTAACTGTTTTCAAGTGTATGAGGTGAGGGAAAGAGTATATAAACTCTCAAGCCTGACCGAGCCAGAAGGAAGAGCACTGGCTGGGGTGTTGGGAGGCACCAAGCCCAATGCTGACTGAGTGACATGGATTGACTTGGCCTTGTCTGGGCCTCAGACCTTGGGCTCCTCTTCTATGTCGAAGTCCACCCCCTGCCAGTGCTGGGCTCGGTGTTGCCAAGCGATTCTTTGGGAGATGGAGTGCTTGCTTTACAAGGGCAAAGTGGGTGATTATGTTGAAATTCATTGCAAAACAGAATAAAAGTCCCTCGGATAGAGCTAGTCGCTAAGCAACAGAGGCCTTGGCATATTTTGTACGGTTTGCAGTGTTTAATTTTGTCCATTTAGCTTTTTGAGAACACTCATGGCAGTGTTTTTAACCGCTCGCACAAATAAATTATGCCTTTTTTCCACAAACAAAGGATCATACAAATTCACAGGCAATTAGGAGTAATCTTCGCGGTGTTTACCGTGTTAGCCAGCAATGATTAATGGAAAGGTGCTTGTGCAGTCAAGATGAGATTGAGAGAGAAATTAAAGGATTTCTGTTTATGAGGCTGCAGGACTACCCTGAGTGTTTTTTACAGCCAGTGAAATGTAGTCGGCTGTGTATTGCCCTGATTGCGCAAAGGCAGCTTACAAGCTGTGAGCTCAACAAGGAGCAATGAGATAATGACCAGCCAATCTGTTTATGGTGTTGCTGGTTGAGCAAGAAATATAGGCCAACACACTGGGAGGAATGGCCCTGCTCTCGAGTGTCGCTGAAGTAAAAGACATGATGTGGGGTGGCTCAGTGGTTAGCACTGCTGCCTCACAGTGCCAGGGACCCGAGTTTGATTCCAGCCTCAGGTGACTGTCTGTGTGGAGTTTGCACGTTCTCCCCATGTCCGTGCGGGTTTCCTCTGGGTGCTCCAGTTTCCTCCCACAGTCCAAAGATGTGCACAACGTAGGGGAGGTGATGGCCCAGTGGTATTATCGCTGGACTGTTAATCCAGAGACCCAGGTAATGTTCTGGGGATCTGGGTTTGAATCCCGCCACGGCAGATGGTGGAATTTGAATTCAATAAATATCTGGAATTACGAATCTAATGATGACCATGAATCCATTGTCGATTGTTGGGAAAAACCCATCTGGTTCACTAATGTCCTTTAAGGAAGGAAACTGCCATCCTTACCTGGTCTGGCCTGCATGTGACTCCAGACCCACAGCAATGTGGTTGACTCTGAACTGCCCTCTGGGCAATTAGGGATGGGCAATAAATCCTGGCCCAGCCAGCGACACCCTCATTCCCCTGAAGGAATAAATCCATTGAGTTGCTCGGATAGCAGTGTTATCACATCACTTCACCAAATGCCGAATCAGTTACAAAGAGGTAATCCATTAATCCGTATGAATGACCCCGCAGAGATGCGGTCAGTCCTTGATGGAGAAACTCTGTTCATTGCACTGCAGGCAGCTGCAGAGGAGGTTCACCAGGATGTTGTCTATGTGGACTTCAGCTCTGGAGAGAGGCTGGATAAGCTTGGGTTGTTTTGTTTGGAGCAGTGTGGGGTTGAGGGGGAAATCTGACCGAAGTACATAAGATTTTGAGGGGCATGGACAAGGCAGATAGAAAGCAGCTACTCCCTTTAGTCGAAGGATCACTTTTTTTTTCTTCATTGGATGATGGCTAGACAGCATTTATTGCCCAGAGTGCAGTTCAGAGTCAGCCGCATTGCTGTGGGTCTGGAGTCACATGTAGGCCCAGACCAGGTAAGGATGGCAGTTTCCTTCCCTAAAGGACATTCGTGAACCAGATGGGCTTTCCCCCGCTTATAATGGATTCACAGTCATCATTAGATTTTTAATTCCAGATATTTATCCCACCATCTGCCATGGTGGAATTCGAACCCGGGTCCCCAGAACATTATCTGGATCTCTGGATTAACAGTCCAGTGATAATACTACTAGGCCATTGCCTCCCCAGTGGGACATGGTTTTAAAGTGAAAGGCAGGAGGTTTAGAGGGCATCTGATGAAAATGTATTTTCACTCAGAGGGTGCTGGAGTGGAATGTTCTGCCTGGGAGGCTAGTTGAGATGGGAAACCTCAAAACCTTTAAGAAGTACTTGGATGATCACCTTGAAGTATCATGACATTCAAGGTTATGAGCCGAATGCAAGAAAGTGGGGACTAGTGGAAGTAGAATGTTTGTTTGTTTGTTTGTTTGTTTTTGCTTGTATTGACTCAAAGGGCTGAAAGGCAATGTCATGTCTGATTCTATGATGCTGCCCAGATCCTAATCATGTCCCATTTTCACCCATCAGTCTGTGCTCGCCAGCTTACGTTGGCTTTTGCTCCAGAAATACAAGTTTTCCAAGTTCACATCCTTGCTTTTGAAATTCTCTGTTGGTGCACTCCCTTCTGTATCCCCGTGACCCCTGTAGCCCTACAGCCCTCCAAGATATATGCAGTTCTCCAACTCTTGGTCTTCTGCACATCCACACCTTTCCATGGTGCCCAACGTTAACGGGTGTTTGTTCATGTGCTGGGGTCACAGCCTTTGATATTCCTTTTGTCAAACCTCGCTAGCCCTCTCCTCCTATTAAGCCAACCTTTAAAATCTACCACATGGGCTAGGCCTTCAGCCTCTGCGTAGCTCCGTGCTAAGATCTGTTTGATTAATGCTCCAACGAAGCGCCCTGGGATATTCTAGCTGCGCCCACACAAAACTGCAAGTTGTTATTGAGAGCTCGGGTATTACTGAGGGCCCAGGTTGCTTGGATTTTTTTCTTAACCTTTTCTATTGTGTAATTTTTAAAAAAAAAATGACCTTCTCCCTTCCCTTGTTGCAGGTTATCAAGTCAAATGCGAGTACATTGCCCACAAGGAAGGCGTAATCAGAGAAGAAATGGTCATGGCCAGCAAGATCAGTGATCGTCCCCCTGTAAAAGTTACGTTGCAGGCCCGAGTCCTGGGTAAGTGCAGTGTTTTTCCCTCTGAGGCAGGGTGCCCTGCACCATGCCAGGTATCTGGGCGAAGAGTTTCAAGATGGTATCCTCGCTCTGCTGGCTGAGCTGTGTGTGATTAGAAAATGAGCTGAAATTGAGCAAACCTTTTCAGAAGCAAAATCAGGTAGCCTGGAAAACCCCATTGAGCCGGCCAGCTTTTAAAACCAAGAAAGTCGCCCCCTTATTGCTGATAAATGCCAACTTGTGACAGTTGACAGAAGATCAGGAACGCACAGCTCATCAATATGTGTGATCGTGGTCATAGAAACTTTTGAGGGGTGACCTTTATAGAGGTTTATAAAATCATGAGGGCCATGGATAAGGCGAATAGCCAAGGTCTTTACCCCAAGGTGGAGGAGTCCAAAACTGGAGGGCATAGCTTTAAGGTGAGAGGGGAAAGATTTGAAAGGGACCTCAGGGCACAGAGTTGTGCATGTATGGAATGAGCTGCCAGAGGAAATGTTGAAGGCTGGTACAATTACATAATTTAAAAGGCATCTGGATGGGTGTATGAATAGGAAGGGTTTAGAAGGATATGGGCCACATGCTGGCAAATGGGCCTAGATTAATTCATGATGCAGGTATTTCTCTTTTTACATGCTAGTTGCATTCTTGTGTGACGTCGTGCTATAGAAAATTGCTATATAGGAAAATCACTACCGAACAGTACAAAGTTCACATTATCCTAACAGCATCCACTATTGATCAATTGCTTTACAGCCAATTCGCGTTAATGAAACAGGCATTATAGCAGAAATATGTGCAGCTGGTCAGCATGGACGAGTTGGTCCGAGGGTCCGTTTCCGTGCTGTACAGCTCTATATCTCTGAGTCTAAATTTAGGAAATAGGAGCAGGACTAGGCTATTCGGTCCATTCAGCTTGCTGTCACCGGTCGACTTTTTAATACGGCTGATCATCCAACTCTGCACCCTGTTTCCTCTTTCTCCCTGTACCCTTTAATCCTTTTGACCACAAGAGCCATGTCCATCCGAAATTGCAGGAGAAACTCAGCAGTCTGGAAGCACCTTGTGGAGAGAGAAAGCAAAGTTCATGTTTTGAATCCAATGACCCTCCTTTAGAATGGTCTGCCCAGAGGACGGAACAGCACACATGCTGCCAGACTTGCTGAGTTTTTCCAGCAGTTTCTATTTTAGTTTCAGATCTTCATCATGCACACTTCATTGTTTCGTTTGGCCAAATCTAACTCCTCCTCGAAACCATTCAATGTTTTGGTCTCAATCATTTTCTGTGGTAGAGAATTCCACAGGCTCACCACTCTCTCTGGGTGAAGAAATATCTCCTCATTACAGTCCTAAATGACCTACCCTGTATCCTTAAACTGTGACCACTGGTTCTGGACTCACTGGTCATCAGGAATGTCAGACCAGCATTCGCACTGAGTAGTGCAGTTGGAATTTTAGAGATTTCTATTGGGTCTCCCTTCATTCTTCTAACCTCCAGTGAATATGGTGCTTAACTGATCCAGTCTGTCTTCATACATCAGTCCTGCCATTCCCAGGAATTAGTCTGGTCTAGGGGACCCTCATGCAAATGCTGCTAGTTTTAACGTGCTTCTTGGTTATGTGTCGCAATTGTCATCAAGTTGATGAGCCTGTGTGTGCCCAATAGGTGCTTACTGTAAGCCTGTGTATTTTGTCAGGAATAGAGCTCGATGGTTAGCAAAGCAGGTACAAGCTCTAAGGGAAGGCATTCTTACTGAAAATTTGGGTCTGAGCCCATCCCAGGAGCACCGGACCCTTTGCACAGCGGATGACTTTCTGAATCCCATCGAATAGTTGAATATTTCAGCCTCTCAAGTCCTGGGTACGCTGCTGAGTTCATTGTTATTTGACAAAAACAAAGAAACCTTTTTTTTTTTTTGTTTGTTTGTTTTCCCCATTCAAAACTGCAGCCACACCACATAAGGAATGTGTTTAAATTCCACGTGATCCAGTCTCAAAGTATTGCCTGGTTTCGGCCTGTTATCTCCTGAGGTTTCACTTCCAGAGAGAGGGTCCAAGCTACTTAATTCACAATCTGAGCAGCCTGATGTAGTTAGAGTTCCCTAACCGCTGAGCATTGCAGGAGCGGAGTTGCTGTTCGGGTACAATATTCTTTTGCATGCACTTCTGGTCTCTCTACCTAGGAGAGGATATACTTGCCATAGAAGGAGTATACTGGAGGTTCACCTAACTGATGACCAGGATGGCAAGACTGACATACGAGGAGAGGGATTAGTGAATCCAGCCCAGTTGAACCAAAGTTTAGAAAGATGAGAGTAAATCTGATTGAAATGCATAAAATTTGAACTGGGCCAGGTAGACTGCATACAGGGAGGTTGTTTGGGGAGGGTAGGAGCAGAGGTCATTCCCAGGATGTGGAATAGACCATTTAGGACTGAGATAATGAAACAAAAGGCAGCTAGTCTGTGGAATTCCCAATCACAGAAGACTGTGGAGGCCAAGTCACTGAATATACTCAAGAAAGAGAGAGAGAGAGAACTTTGTCACACTCTTAAGACATCAAGGGGTATGTGGAGAAAACCGGAACGTGGCATTGAGATTCAGTCATGGTCCGAGTGAATGGTGAAGCAGGCCCAAAGGGCTAAATGGACGACTTCTGTTTAAAGTTTTGGCAAAGATCTGTAGCTTGGGTTGTGGGTGAGGTTGTTGACTTGCTCGCCAAGCTGGCTTATTCTCGTTCAGACGTTTCGTCACCATGTTAAGTGACATCGTCAGTGGAGCCTCCGATGAAGCGATGTTATTCCACTCTGCTTGGAATTTATACTGTCCGATCCGTTATGGTGAGTACTGTCATTTCTTGTTTTTGATCTGTATGGGTTTAAGGATATTAAGGAGCTCTCCAGTTTAAACTGATGGCCTTCACTGTCTGAGTGTACCGATATTAAGGAGAGCTGCTTCATAATCTGTACTCTCAGACAATGAAGGCCATCAGTTTAACTGGGAAGAGGTAACTATAGTAGCCCAAGCCAAACATAGACATACATGGGAATTCCTAGAGGCATGGTTCTCCACCCATACTTCAATGAACAAACATAGAATTGGGCCCCATATACAAACCCACACAGATCAAAACTGGAAATGACACTACTCACCATAACAGACCAGGCAGAGTAAATTCCAAGCAGATTAGAATAACATTGCTTTATCGGAGGCTCGGCTGACGTCACCTAGCATGGTAACAAAATGCCTGAACAAGCCAGTTCAGCGAGCAACTCAACAGCCTCACGGATGATTTTTGGCCTAATGACACTTACTTTATATTGCAGATGCTTGCTTACTAATCTGGTTTAAATTGCACCAGCCGTTGCGGTAGGATTAAAGCAGTATATCCCCAAGGCATTAGTCTGGCACTGTGGAATACTAGTCCAATGCCACCCCCATAAATACCATGGCTGTTCCTAACACTTTGAAGGACAGTGTAGAAGACTGTGTTAACTGTGCATGCCATCAGTTACTGGAAGCATTGAACTGGAAGTCCAAGATGAGGGAGGAGTTTCATCATCCTTGCTTGTTCATAGTGTCCAGGGATGTGTAGGTTAGGTGGGTTAGCCGTGGGAAATGCAGCGTTACAGGGATAGGATGGGGGAGGGGGTGGATCCGGGGTGGGATATTCTTCGGAGAGTAGATGTGAATTTGTTGGGCCAAATGGCCTGTTTGCGCACTGAAGGGATTTTATTCTGTTCTTCTATGAATCATCAGTAAAAGATGAATCCGAATGAAAAATTTAATATTCCTGGATCTTTAAAATGTTAAAACACATTAGCCTCATAAGCGCCATTCTCTGTTCACGTTTGCCTTTTTATTTGTTCCTGTGATTCACTGACAAGCTGAAGCATTTCTCTGCCACCTTGAGCTATCCTCCGTGTTCGTCTTTCATTGTGTGGGGGTTTACGGAAGGAAGCCCTATTGGAACTGCAGCGGCTCTTTTTCCACTTGGACCCATTCACACTTTTTTTTGTTTTGTCCCCACATCTCAGAAATTTCATTTCCTTTGAACCGTCCATCTGATTCCTCTTTGAAAGTTGCTATTAAGTCACACCACCCTTTCACGCACTGCATTTCACATTACAATGCTCACGTGTGGTGTACCACCCGAACCAGCACTGGAGGGTCATAGTTATTTGCAATATAAATTACTGATATGGATGAGGGAAGTGCATGTACTATAGCCAAGTTTGCAGATATCACTAAAATAGGTGGGAAGGCAAATGATGAGCACAAAGAATATGCAGAGGGATATAGAATGAATCAGAATGAAAAATGTAATATTCCTGGGATCTTTAAAATGCTAAAACACAAAGTCTTGTAAGCAACATTCTCTGTTCATGTTTGCCTTTTTATTTGTTCCTGTGAATGCCCTTCCCTAAAGGGCATTAGTGAACCAGATAGGTTTTTCCCTCCAAACAATTGACTAAGAGAATCTATTCATGGTTATCATTAGACTCTTAACTCCAGATTATACTTTTTTTTTTATTGAATTCAAATTCCACCATCTGCTGTGGTGGGATTTGAACCTGGGTCCCCAGAACACTCTGGGTCAATAGTCCAGCGATAATACCACTAGGCCATCACCTTCCCCCTTAATAGAGGAGCTGAATGTTTAGTTGGAGAAAAGTTACAGAGAAGATTTGGGGATACCTCATCCATGAATCACACAAATCTGTCATCCACGTTCAGCGAGTAATAGGGAAGGCAGAATGTTAGCCTTTATTTCAAAGGGTAGGGAGGTTTTGCTAAAATTACACAAGGCATTAGTCAGATCACAGCTGGAATACTGTGAACTGTTTTGGGCCCCCTATCGTTGGAAAGATGCTTTGGCATTGGAGACAGTGAAGTGTCTCAAGACTAGGCTGATTAAATGGTATGAAGAGACTGGCTTAATAGAGTTTTAGTAGTTTGGATTTGTATTCTTTGTAATATAGAAGAATGAGAGGCAATCTTAT